AACTGCAAGAATTACTTTTACTTTATTGATAAGTATATCTTAATATGGTGATTCAGAGATTTTTCACAAATGAATTAAAATTAAAAACTTTGATACTGGCCCCATGGCACAGTAGGCAAAGCTTCAGCCTTCAGGCAAAGCATCCCGCATCATATGGGCACCGTTTTGTGTCCTGGATTCTCCACTTCTGATCTAGCTCCGTGCTTTTGGCCTGGGAAAACAGTGGAGGATGCCTCCAGTGCTGGGGACGCTGTATCCATGAGGGTAACTCAGAGGACATTCCTTGCTCCTGGCATCACATGGATTCAGCTCTGGCCATTGGCACTAGGTGGGGAATAAAGCAGCAGAAGGAAGACCTCATTCTGTGTCATTTCTTTTCTGCGTAAATCTTTCAAATAAAAATAAAATAAAATGTTTTAAAAGAACAGAAACGTTTTGAAAGGCTTTTAAAGCACATTGGTGCCTGACACATCCAGGACTACGTGTAAAGGAATCCTGAGGAACATCCTGAAGTGCTGAATTTTACGAGGCCTCCATTGATTTTTCAAAAGTACTGACAGAATCATTAGCCTAACGTAACCATTTTCTTCTAAGCAAGCCCACCTCCCAACTTCCCACCATAAATCATTAATTAACAGGGCAAATAATTGATCAATTTTTTTCAATGCACTGTATTGAGTTTTATCATCTCTGCATTATATTGTATTCCTAATTCAATTTGCTGTAATATTTGAGCCTACCAGAGAACTGTGAGATGATTTTGCAAAGGTTTTCATTTGCCAAATGAGGACAGCATGTCTGAGACAAATGAGATGGCCAGCTGCTATGGCCTCTGGCGAGGCAGGGACCTCACAAACACTCCCTCCTCCGGGCTGTCTAGTGTTCTTTTCATTGTGCTATATAAGCAAAGTATGCTCATCATTTCCTAAATGTTCTTTTTTGTAAGTCTTTTCAAAATCCAGCTTTAATGCAGCGCTTTAGACGAATACTACATCTAGAGAATTTCCTTGCAGTTTTTCCAACCCACGCAATGCATTTCCTTTCATATCAGTTCTGCTGACTACAGTTTGGAGTGACTGCTGATTTTTTTCTGGGCTGGGTTAGCATTTCTACCATTTAGTCTTCATTTTGCATGTAATTTATATACTCCTTTTTACACATATTTCTTTATGCTTCTGACCTGAAAATAAATGTCATTTAACATAATGAGTAATTTTAATATTTATGATGTTAACCAATAAAAATAATTTTGCATTTTTATTGTCTAATTTTATGAACTCAGGGCAACTGAAATGTGTCAGGTCTTTCATTTCATTTTCTGATCAATGGTATTTCTATAAAAATCCTACTTTTAATAAAATCTATATCTATCATAGATTCTGACACGCATGAAAGACTTAACTTTTTGTTGTTTCACCCTGTATTTTTATTTTAGTAAATCCATATATGTTCCCTCTAGTGATCAAAGTAGTATCTAAAAATCCTCTATTAAAATAAATATACCAGAAGCTACCTTGTACTGGTAAACCAGTTCTACATCTGTTTCAGTAAATCCAATTTAATCCTTATTGCTTTTGTTATTATTATGTTTCAAAGAATCCTACCATATTAGAATGATCAACTGTGAATGTAGTGATCAACAAAGCTTATAGTTAAATAAATACTGTTAAATAAATTAGAGATAACATTCCAGGAGCAGTATTTAGTTCTGTTTTTATTGTTCCTGCTGTTGACATCATACTTTGCTTGATCCTGTTATTTAGAAAAGTGAATATCAAGCAAACTCAACTACAAAGCTGCAGTTTAGGCTGTGTCTAGATGTTTGATGTTGAAATCCCCTTTACAAATCTTACAAAGAGAATGTATTGGAAGTGAAAAAAAGGCCTGACCCAGTAGCCCAGTGACTACATTTCTCATCTTGAAAGCACTGGGATTCCATATGGAAACTGGTTCTAATCCCAGCAGCTCCACTTTCCATCCAGCTCCCTGCTTATGGCCTGGCAATGTAATCAAGGATGGCCCAAAGCCATGGGACCCTATACCCACGTGGGAGATCTAGAAGAGCTCCTGGCTCCTGGTTTCAGGATCAGCACAACTCTGGTTGCGGTCACTTGGGGAGTGAATCATTGGACGGGAGACCTTCCTCTCTGTCTCTCCTCCCCTCTTTTATATCCGCCTTTCTGATAAAAATAAATAAATCTTTTAAAAAATATCACACAGTTTAATAAAATGTGATATACACTTCAATTGCTCACACAGATGCTCTGAATTTAGCATGGGATTAAATCCAAATACAACTCCCACAGGTTGAAAGTATGATTTCAAAATGGATTTAATGCATCCATCCTACCGAACAACACAGCTTATCAATGCCATACCATATGGAACATGTTTACTGAGCCTTGTGCTTGCTTGACTGACCAGGAGAAGCAATTTTCCGCCATTGCCCATAATTAGATGATTATTTCTATTAAATATTACTATCCTTGGAGAATAATTTAAAAGTAAAAGTATGCTTTCTAGTGAATGTACACAACTTTTTTTCTCTAGAAAATACGAGCAATGCTAAATTGAATAAGTTAAGCGTCATTGTTAATTTTACCAACTTGATATATGGATAGACTAAAAAGGAAAAATGTATTAATAATAAGAAAGTAGGAAAACATAAGATACTTTTATTTATCATTCATGTTGGGTTGGGGGGAAATAAACATGATATATTTTCTAGATCTGGCCCTTTTACAACATTCAAAATTCCAAAATTACAGTTTATATGCAGAGTATAGCAGCAAAGGCCAGGAGTACTTAATACTTGCATAATTGCTTACATTTGAGACTTGCTCAAAATTAGAAGGCAGATATAATTTGCTTCTCTTCCTCAACCTTAACAGAAGGAGATACAAATCTTGTTGGACACATTCAAGGATATTAATGGGAGATTTATCTGTAGTAGACCAGTGACAATATTATTTAAAAATAAAGTGTGGAAATACGTTTCTAAAATGTAGGGAAAATATTCCTTAGAAAATTAAACAGCAGGGGCTGGCACAGCAGCTCATCAAGCTGATATTCTGCCTGGAAGTGCCAGGATCCCATATGGGCAGCAGTTGAAGTCCTGGATGCTCCAATTTCTATCCAGGTTGTGACCTGGGAAAGCAGTGGAGGAAGATACAGGTCTTTTGGCCACTACACCCATGTGGGAAACATGGAGGTTGCCTGCTCCTGGCTCTGGATCAGCTCAGCTCTGGTTACTGAAGCCATTTAGGTGGTGAACCAGTAGATGGGAGATCTTTCTCTCTGCCTCCTCTTCTGTTTGTAAATGTGCCTTTCAAACACAAATGAATTCTTAAAATAAAAAAGAGGGAAAACAGCAAACTCCTAAACATTGATGTCTTCTGTTCTTTCTATGTATTAATTAGTAAACTCAAAGTTACAAAATTATGTCTTACTTATTAGCTTTGTTACTTTAATCTGGTGGTAGTCTTACTATCTTGAAGCCACAAGTTGACATGAAAGCAACCTGGAATCAATAAAAGTGGAAATATATTCAGTTTAATTCTGATTTGAACTGTGACATAAATGATCTTTTGTATCTAAAAATGAAAGATGATAAGGTAACTTTTGCTTTATTTTTATTATAATCTTTCATTTTTATTGCAATTTTATTTGAATCATATTTAATATTTGATTGAATGTTGATATTTAGATGAATCATGACATTGTAGACAACGGCAGAAAAGTTAACATCCTATTGTCAAGATGTAGTTAACAGTTTCATTGGGAGTTGTTCTTTCATTTGGGAGTAGAGATGCACACTGCAGAGTTTTTCACTTCTTGGCATAATGGTCTCCATTATGTGGCTCCTTTAGATGAATATGTGTATATACACGCTTATCGATATACTTATTGATCTTGTATTTTGCATGAAGGTTGCTTTATATCACAGAGAAGAGATGCTATTTGCCTTTTGAGATTGGCCTATTTTACTAAGCATAGTGGTGTCTAGTTGTTCTTTCTACACCTTCAGAAACTCTTAAGATGTGTATATTTGTTCATTTAAAAATTGCATGTAAATCTTGAACACTGTTTTTAGTTTCCTACTTATTTCAGTTTTTTGTTTTGCTCTGTTCTGTTCTCTCTGAGATATTTTCCAAGGACTTAACTTGCGTATTCTTTCTTTTGCCACTGAGTTTGCTGTTAAGGTTTTTTATTTATTTATTTAACATAGCAGAGTTTTCATTTCTAATATTTTGGTATTATTTATCTTTGTTAAAATCTCTGATTTAAATCCTTTTTGGTATCTCCAATAAGTGGACAGTGCAAAGCATGGTAGCTCCATATTTTTTAAATATTAGTTCATGCATTTGAAAGAGAAGGAAGACATACACACGAGAGAGGGAGAGAGAGAGAGAGAGAGAGAGGGAACTTTTATACTTACTAATACATTTTCCTAAATAGCTGCAGTGGCCAGGGATGAACCAGGGAAACCCAGGAACCTGGAACACAGCTCATTTCTCCAACTTGGGGACAGGATAAAAGCATTTGCACCAACATCTGCTGCCTCTAGCGATACACACCTTTAGAAAGCTACCAGAGCCTCATTGTTCATCTCGCACTTGTAAGTTTCTCACTGCCAGATGTGATGACAAAGTACAAATCATCATCTGGATAGTATTGTCCACAAAGATTGAAATGAGAAAAAATAAAGAAAAACTTGAGTCATTCTCAAAGTCCTATATTTTCTCCTTTGCAAATTCCATATCATTTAAAAATTGCAGCTGGTTTGGAGGGCATCAAGATTGCTCATATTTTAAAGAAGGTAAAGAGGCATAACAATTACAATAACACCAAGAAAATATAGTGTCACAGAGTTGATTTTATATATAAGTATATAAATAAATTACAGTGTCATCTAAAATATTCAATGAAACATGAAATCACTTTTCAAGTAACTAGATATTGACATGGAATTCAGTTATACAAGCGGTGAACCCATACCCATGGCCTTCTTGGAATCTGTGAGGAACAGACGGCACTGTCTGCAGCCTAAGAAACTACTTGCAGAAATGCCTCCACTAGAGACCTTTAAGTCAAAGGGTAATTAAATTTGGGCTTTGAGCCTCATATGAAGTCTGTTTCATCTTTTAATTAATGACTGTGTTACTACACAGTCTTGCTGTGTTGTGGGACACTCGTAGAATTGGCACACTATAGCGTGTTTCTATCAGCAGCGTGGCTAACTCGTAGTTTAATTTATGAGGCAATAAATACTGACCGTAATATTGTTGAGTATTAATATCAACATTTGCACTGTTACACCAAAGGAGTAGTTCACACAACAAGTATTTACAATGTGTCCAGAAGAGTTCCAGTGTCAGAGATATTGATAATTAAGAGAGCTTTATGTTATTCATCACCCATTTTCTATTGCATGGGCTCAGGGAAATTTAAATTTATGTTACATAAAATGTGTCCAGGAAAAAACAGCTTTTTCATTGCTGAAGGGTAAGAGATTTTCAGGGTATCTATAAACATTTCATTGTTCTAGTACAAAATCGTTCATTTAGCACTAAGTCTTTACTGTTATTTCACCATTTTTACTTGCATATTATGTTTATTAAAACAATTTTCCCCTTTTTTGGTTTGTTAGTTTTTGCTCTGCATAATCATACTGTATTGGAATAATTTGTATGTATTTGATGGGGTTATATCTCTCTTCATCATCCTTGTTTATTCAAACTCTTATTAGTGTTAATTTTGAATTTTAACCTTAGTCTGCATTTATGGTTTGATGCTTTGAACAAACCTAGAACGGTATTCCACACAAGGAAAATGGCAAAGCAAATTCTATTCTAGACCTTCAATGCATGCTTTTATTAAATGCATGAATCTCTTCAAAAGACATTGGAATATTAATAAAACTATTAAGTATTACTAAGTATTTTTATTCTATTGTTACTTGCTTATATATCATTTAGTTGACCTTTCCCTCTGGAATAAATATTGCATTGAATGATTTCCAGTAGGCATAAATAACCTTCTTAGTATGTACATCAAATATGCACATGCAGAGACTTCCCATATTGACCACATATTTGATGCGCCATCCTGATACAGGTTTGTGTGTATTTTTGCTTAAAATGTAAAAGAAGAGAAAAATTAGAAATATTTATTTTAAACATGTGGTAGAATCCTAGAGTAAAGTTGATAAAGCAGAAACATGAAAAGTGCACAAGATGCAGAAAGAACCTGGGACAGAAGAAATTAGCTTCCACAGGTTAAAGGTGCTCTACTCATAGTAACAGGAAGGATACAGAAGATACAACATGACTCCTCATCTTCCTGATGGGAAATGTGGTAGTGACATTGTTGCACATCTTTTATTATTATCTTCATGGAATTGAAATCTAGATTACCAGCAGAAAACCTGAAATAAGCAGAAGAATGAGAGGGTTTTAAACACTGCATCACCTTTGAAATACTGAAAATGGTGATCTCAGGGAAAGTGGTGTGAGTTCACTAGGCAGTGCCTAAGTAAGTATAAGTGTGGTGAATCCATGGAATTGCCAACATACTCGGCCTATCACTGTCATTTTATACGACCCATATCTACTTTTTCAAATAACTAAGTATGAAAATACTTGTAAAGCTTCATGGATACTAGAATTAAGTATATATATTTAGATGCATTTGATGTCTGCTTCTTTGAGGTCTTCAACAAACTGATGAAAATATGTGCTAAAGGGAAAATATACTGTTTTTCAATTTTTTTGCATCAAACTAAACTTCTCTTTCTCATATTATGTAACATTATGCTCTATATTTAATCATTACATATAATCTTTAACTGAAATCACATTGCTATGAATTTAAGTCATCTTCCAAAGTTTCCTGTCATAGCTGATTAAATAAATATTCTATATTCTAAAGAAGAACTGAGAGTTATTTTACAATAATCCTAGGGCAAATTCCTAGTCATTAAAGAACTGGATAGAGAATAATGGCTAAAGTTCTCACCCTGCATGTGCCTGAGATCCCATATGGACACCTGTTCTCATCTCTGCTATGGCACTTCCTATCCAGTTCCCTGCTTGTGGTCTGGGATAACAGCAGAGAACAGCCCAGAGCCTTGAGACCCTGCACCTGCATGGGTGATCCGGATGAAGCTCTTGGCTCTTGGCTTGGTTCAGCTGTGAGCACTGCAGTCATTTGAGGAGTGAATCATCAGAAGATTTTCCTCTCTGTCTCTCCTCCTCTCTATATATCTGACTTTCTAATAAAAACAAATAAACTGTAAACAAAATGACTAAATTTGCTTTTAAGAGGTATTTTTAACAAATTAAAATATCTCAAATGTGTATTTTTAAATATCTGAAATATTTACTGATTGGGTCACCAAATGCTCAGAACAGCCAGATCTGGGCCAAACCAAAGCCTGAAACCAGGAACTCCTTCCTGCTCTCCTGTTTGGGAAACAGAGAATCAAAGCACTTGAGACAATTTTTGGTGTGGCTTCCCAACCACCTCAGCTAGGATGCTGGATGAGAAGTGTGGTAGCTGGGACTAGCAAGCATCACAATATTGAATGCCAGCATTGCAACTTTTAAAAAAATATTTATTTATTTTGTATTGCAAAGTCAGGCATAAGAAAGGAGGAGAGACAGAGAAGATCTTCCATCTGATGATTCACTCCCCAAGTGACCACAACGGCCGGTGCTGCACCAATCTGAAGCCAGGAGCTCTTCCGGGTCTCCCACGTGGGTGCAAGGTCCCAAGTCTTTGGGCCATCCTGGACTGCTTTCCCAGACCACAAGCAGTGAGCTGGATGGGAAGTGGAGCTGCCGGGATTAGAACCAGCGCCCATATGGGACCCCGGTGTGTTCAAGGCAAGGACTTTAGCTACTATGCCACTGCGCCAGTCCCAAGATGTCACTTCTAATAATACTGACACAGCACTACTTAGCAATTAAGCTATTTATATAATTAAGCATTGCTTTTAGTGATACATTTTATGTATTATTACATTGTCCTTATTGCTGATTTTTTTTCTCTGTTTTGGATAAATTTTTTCAGTACCAATTGTCCCACCCCTCAATGAACAAAAACAAAACTTATTCTAGTCAGTGTTATATTATATCAGTTTGCTCTCTTCCTCCCCGAGTTTTATCTTCCTTTTTGTGTTCCTCGTGGGTATTTTCCCTTTCCCATTTTCTCATCTGTTCTGCAGTGATTTCTTTCCTCACTTAAATCACAGCTGAGGATACAGGACTTCAATATTTAGTGATTTGTTTTGTCAAATTTTCTAAATCAGAAAAGTGATCATCTAGAATCTCCAAGCAGAAGAGTTCATGCAAGAAAATATTCATAATCCTCATATATTTGGAAATTCTACCCGTGGATTGACAGTTCATCTTAGTATTCTTCATTGCAATGTTTTATTTATAGCTTCATTAAAATAATAACATGTCAGTTTGCAATTGAAACCAGATGATGTCTTAAGACTTAAACCTGAAATGTAACATCTTCTTATTTCATTCTTCCTCTGACACACTTAGTGTATTTTTTAAGTCATTCTGTTTTTTTTTCCCTCGAGTGTGAATCATTTTATCTGTAGGACTAAGCAATAAAATCTCTGGATAGTGCAATAGTTATTAATCCTAAGGACATTTTTTTTAAATCTTCAAATGTTTTGACCAGTTTTCCCTCCTTAAAACTTTACACCCCTTCATTATAGAAACCAACACACATTCACACACACTACGTTTCCCATTCTTTGATTTTCTGTTGTAATGTTTTCTTTCAAGTCAATGAGTACAGTTTTTGTTTCAGCTTCCTGAATTTTCCTTTACTGTGTTCAGTGTAGTTTCCTTTTTTATCTGCCTTCCATTATTATGATTTCCCATAATTTTTTTTATATTTCTGTTGTCTCTTAGCATTTACCTTGTACATAATCATTATCTTAAAATTAGAGGTTTTTCTCAAATTCTTTAGTTGTGAGAAAGCTGGAAGAAACATGGCTGGGATATTTGGACCAAAGATATTATAACACATAAAGGCTACTTTTCTACTGGGAGACTGAAGTTTAGTTTCTCATATTAAGTCATTAAATACATTATATTCTGATTTTCATTAATCTTCCATTCTTGACTCTTCTGTTTATATTTCCTATAGCTTTGACTAATTTGTTAGATTTTAAAGCTTAAATTTTTCATCAGTTTGTAAATTAATTGCCATTCAAGGAATGTGTATGTGTGTTTTGGGGGGGGTTGTTCTGTAGGGATTATAATTTATTTTCCTAACTTTTCCTCACAATTATATTTAGACTATATTTTGCACCACTGCCTCTTCCCTCCATTTCTCCCTTCTTTCATTGCTTCCTCCCACCCCTTCTTTCTCAACATTTTAAGCCATTGCAGATGTGATATTTTGTTACTTAAAATATTTATCTTATTTGAGAATGAGACAGAAAAAAAAATTGGGAGAAAAATTTAAGAGAGCTCTCCAGACCATGGATTCATTCTCTAAATGCCTGGAAAGGGCAGAACTTGGACCTGCTGAGGCTGAGACCTTGAAACTCACTCTTGTTCTCTCATGAGTGCCACGAGAGATCAATTGTTTACTGGAAACTTCCTACAGTGTCCAACAAATTAGCATCAGGAGCTGAACTCGAACTTGAACCAAGGATTCTTAAAATGGAATGCCAAAATTCCAACCTTGTGGAATTCTTTTTTTTTTTTTTTTTTGCTATACTCAAAGTAGATTTTATTGTTTTTATTTTTTAAATTATATTTTTGACAATCTTTACATAGCTAAATGGGGTAAAAAGGTTCAAGCACTATAGGAAAGTGGGTAAGACTATTATTTCCATATTGTTTCCTTCATGTTTAAAGGGGGATATTAAGGGAGAAAGCCCACCCAATTTCCCACCCTCCCCAGGTCCCACAAAGGGCATGCTCCAAGGTTCTTGCTCAAGTGGTTTTGATAGTTCACCAGCTATAATTCGTTACCAATCTTGTCACTCCAAGCACTATGGGGTCTTTGAAGAACCCACTGATTGACATAGTCCATCATAGGGTCTCCAATTGCCCAGTATTTCACTGCCAAGATATAGCTGAGATGGTTGATTAACCTGTCTTCTGTCTTTTCTTGGTTAGGGTTCTGAGTCCGAAAGGGCAATTCGGTGGATCTCCAAAGGAACTTTGAGATGTTCTCAGACCAGATTCTTGTATGTACTAGCAGATACAGGAACCAGCTCAGTTCATGGCCCTGATCAGGTGGTGGTTGGAATCGCTGGGTTGATTCTGTTTTCAGCCTCAACTTCCACTGGAAACAATGGGTGTTGCAGTCCAGCCTGGTGCTGCCCAGCATATTCTCGGCCCTCTCATAAACAAGTGGGAGCTGCAGCCTAGTTGGAGCGACCCACAATAACCCCCACCAGGCCCACCCCTACCCTGGTTTATCAGGATGTGTAGCAGTAGTCCAGTCTGTCCCACACCCCATTACACCCCAGCCGCTGTCCTAGTTTTATGCCCTCCCATGGAAATGGTAACCCAAGAGGGAGAAGCCCACTATTTCCCTCCCAGGCTTCTCCCTCTCCAGGATTATGCACTCTCCAGATAGTTCTGTGGTTTGACTTGAAAGAGCTAGCCCCCAGTGCCAGCTTCTGCCAGCTGATGCTGCGAGTAAGACCAAACCACCCTCACCCACTCTAATTTTGTTTGAGCCAGTAGGAATAATCAGCCCAGCCTGGCTTTTCCCTGATCTAGTCCACATGAGGCATGCAGGTGTTGTAGCCCTGGCTAGTCTGGTCTGTCCCCATTCCAGCCTATGCTCTACAGCAGGAGTAGCTCTCCAGCAGAGGAACTAGCTCTTATTCCCCTGCCGGCTCTGCCCCCTCCCTTTCTCGTTCTCATTTGTGCTGGTTGGGTGCTACAGTCACTTCTGGCACGGACAACCTCACCTTGGCATTCCATATTGTGCACTAGTTTTTGTTGCAACCGAACCTGGCTAGACCCACAATGTTCTGGTGCCTGGATTTGCCAGAGGATGATGTGAACAGATTCAGCCTTGTCTTCCCCCGATCCATGCCAGATGTATGCCCATGGGTAACTTTCCATGGCCTGTTCCGGGCTGTTTCCTATCATGTTTCTTGTGCTTACCTGCAGGATCTGTGTCCTGCCAGAGGAGTTGTCCAGGCTCCTCCATCAGAACCCCTCGGAGTGCCAGATTTTGTGCATACCAGTGAGTCCATGAACCAGCCCTACCTAGTTCAGCTCCTGTTTTAGCATGAACAGTGGCTTTTCCTGACTGGTCTTCAACCCAACTTGGTCCATGCTGTTGGATGTTTCAGCCCAGCCATGGCTCGTCCATACCCACATATGGCTCACACATGGTTCAGTAGGGGTTGAGACCTTGCCTAGCCCATCCCTCATCTACCCTGGTCCTCCAGGATACCAGAGGGTATTGGAGTCTCACCCGGCTCGGTGCAACCAATCCCAGTCCACATTTGTGCCAAGTGAGACTACAACTGTTTCCGCATTCAGAACCCAGCTCCCATTCCAGCCCACATGCCCCTTGGTGGGAACCTCAACCCAGCTGGGGTTGTCCCCTTAGCTCCCCAACTGGGCCTGTTCCCAGCCATAAATCACATGCATGCCAGTGGTTGTTCTGTCTCAACTTGGTTCAATCCCTCACCTGTCCTGACCTCTGCCTTAGACACTGTGGCTTAGTGTTCCTGGTTCATGCAGACCAGTAGGTGCAAGAGTCTAGCTCGGCATGACCTGTGCTCCCTCCTGGTCTCTAGTTTCACTTGTGGGCTCAGGTTTGCTCAGTCCTGCCTGGTCCACCCTGTTCCATTATCAATTGATACATTAGCCAGCTGTTGGAGCTACTTTGCCCAGCTTGTCTGACCACATGTTCACCAGTGGGATGTATGACTCGCCAAGGGAGTTTCCCAAGTCCTTCTCTTAATCCACTCCCAGACACAGTTCTCATATATGTCATTGGGTTTAGACCAGGTTCCGGTGAAGCGTGGCCTTCCATTTGGCCTTGTATGAGCTGGTGAATGTTGCAGCCTGTTGCACCCCACACCCTATTCAGGATGCACATTTGGGTGCTGCTGCCCTGACCAGTCCATACTATTGGGGGTTCCTTTACCTGTGATTGATGGCAGGCTCCTTGGTCACACCTAGCTTAGTCTATCACCACCCTATCTCTTGAGCTAGCCATTGGGGCTAGAATTTCCACAGGGTTTGGCCCACACATCTCTCACAGAATCTGCCCCTGGTTATGGTTCTTGAGTGCTAGTTAATATAATCTAATGGCCCTGCTTAATGTGACTCCTCTCCTGATCCATCATCATGTCAGGTAGCAGGATATGATTCTGCTGGACAAGCCCTGAGCCATAGCTTTTGCATGGACTGGTATTTGGTGGTCAGCATTGTTCAGTGATTACAAGTTTTTCAAAAGAAGAGTTACTGCAATTGGAGATCTTTACCATTGCTTCACGTCCTAGAAGCACAGTGGGTTCAACCTGGATCTACCTAAGCAGCGACTCGAAGAACCAAAACCTTAGAGCTCCCTGGCCGGGCAGCCAGCAGGCAAAGCCTGGCACCAAATGGCATGCTGGCCGGCTGAGGACAGCTCACCATGTGCACATGGTGGTTGTCATCTGGGATCCAGGCATGAGACACCCCGTCCTGATCCCCACCAGTAGCCAAGAGGCTGCTGGAAGTTTAAACTCCCAGGCCCAAGTTCGTGCCCCTCCCCAATCCCATTCACCGCCCAATGAGGGTGGCAGGTGGGCCCTGGACCTGCCCAGTCATGGAGACCTCCTCCCTCGGTGTACTCACCCAGAAGGGAGCAACCCCCGGAGCCCAGGCAGGCCCGGGGACAGCTCACCACGTGCACATGGTGGCTGTAGTCTGGGATCCAGGCGTGAGACTCCCTGTCCTGAGACCCACAAACTTGTGGAATTCTTAATGCCCTTCTTATACTCCCTCAAACACCTGATTTAGTTTTTCAGTGCTTTCAAGGTTTTAATTTTAGCTTGGATTGTTAAAATTTTCAGCTTGATGTGTCTGAAACCTATTCTGTTTCTAATTATAACTCTCAATATTTGAATCAAGATGAATCATTAATTTTTTTATGTTTGAGAAATTTTTCCTATTGTTTTTGAAACAATTAAATTTACCTCTTTTCTCCTTCATTTCTTTTCAGAACTGATTTGTGTAAGTTAAAATGCTCTTTTTACAAAGGCCAGTGAAGATCTATTAAATTTCTCTCAGTTTTCTTTCTCCTTTTCATGATTTAAAATTTCTAGTGATTTTTCATTTGTCAATATGACTCTTCTATTTTTCTCAATCATCTGCTATTCCTGTCAATAATTTTTAACTTAAGCTTTTCTTTTCATTTTAAAAATCCACACTAAAACTCCAAGTTGGTTCTTTTGGTAGGTTTTGAAATCTTCAGGAATTATGAAGTTTTAAAATTATGTTATTGCATAGGCTTTCCATCACACTTTCCAATTTGTTATAATTTTCCATGATACAGTTTAATAGGTATAGGGATTCCTCACACCCATTTCCTCTATTTTCATCTTTCCCTTTTGCCATTTTCTTCCATATTACAACTTTAGGTGTTTCATGGCACTATAGTTATGGACAACGAAGATTATTGACATGTTATCCTGGTCATTTTTGGGGAATGTCACCATAAATGCCTTTTCTTCTTGGTTGAGTTTACATTTTCACTCTTCTTAAACAAAGATAATTTTGGAGGCCCAGAACAGTGGCTCAGTGTCTAAATCCTTGCCTTGCAAGCACTGAGATCCCACATGGGTGCTGATTCATGTCTTGGTTGCGCCACTTCCCATCCTATCATCCTGGAATGAGACTCTGCATGTGCTTGGGAGACCCGGAAGAAGCTCCTGGCTCCTGGTCTCAAATCGGCTCGACTTTGGCTATTAAGACCACTTAAGGAATGAACTACCTGTGGTTGGCAACAGCGGAAGCTTATCTTAACTGTTTTAACCTTAAATGTGATTGTTTAAGTTCATCTATTCATACAGAATTCAAGAATTCACCCTTTATTTGTTAAGAGGTTTCATTTTCTTACAGGCTTATTTGGAAGATATAATTATAGAAGGATAGAGATAGAGTCATGGGTATGGCCCTGGGTAACTAGTTAGCTAGCTGGATAGCCTAAGAAAATCTCCACCACACCGATTTAGTCCCTAAATGGCTTCAAAGATCAGGTCTGTGTTAGGAAGAAGACATGAACCAAAATGTTTCTCTGAGTCTCCCCTGTGCATGCCTGGGCCCAACTGATTGGGCCACCTTTTTTGTTGCTTCCACAAACACACTTGCCGAAAGCCGGATTTGAAGTGTAGTGTTCTGGCAGCTTTCCCAAAAGCTGCCAACAAGGCCTTGGGGACTATCAACCAAGCTACAGAAAAGGAGGTGAAGACCAACGTGCCCCTCAAACCAAAACAGGCGAGCGTCGCCAAAAAGATGACCGAGAAGAAGGTTAAAGCGAAAACCTCTGTGCCTGCTCCAGATGACACCTATCCCGAAATAGAAAAATTCTTTCCCTTCAATCCTAGAGATTTCCAGAGTTTCGACCTGTCTGAAGAGTACCAGGTCGCACCCCTGACCTTGAAGGTCATGTCTCTCATGATCCTCGATAAGCAGCGAGAGTTTGATAGGCTGTTGGAGCTGGGCCCCTCTTTGCCTGTGAAGATGCCTTCTCCATCGTGGGAATCTGGTCTGCCGTCTCCTGCAAGCATCCTGTGGACCCTGGATGTTGAACTGCCACCTGTGTGTTATGACAGGGAAATTTGAATTTCTTACTGCTTTGTGAATCGTGTGTATTTGTGTTAATAAAGCCTTTCTTTAATGGAAAAAAAAAAAAAAGAAACGAACGAGCTTATATCTGCACATGGCACTGGTGTCATAGGTGGTGACTCAACCTGCAGTGCCATAACAACGGTCCCTGCCATGGTTTCTAGGAATATTTGGGTTTTCCATCCGCTCTTTCCTTGGAGTTTTAAATTTTCAGCTGCTTTGTCATTTTCTGACCCTGTGGTTTGATTCCTCAACCAACATGGTTTCCTAAGATACCCTAAAACTTGGAAACTCCTCCTGTACTGTTCACCTGTTTGGTCAATGTCGCTGCAGCTTGGATCTGGACTTTTGTTTTCCAGTATCAGAAAGTTGACTTCTACTATTTAACTTAGAATTTACAATTAATACCTACCTGTTTTACAATTATCAGGAATGGAACTTTCCCATTGCAATGTCTGGCACTGTATCTATGTAATAATTTACTCTCTATGCCTAAAAACTGTGTTTTGCCTCTCTCTTTGGGTCATAATCACCTCAAGTAATCAACTGGAAATCTATTTTATTTCTTATCCAAACTATATATTAGTTTGATTTCAATTATTTATTTCCAGAAACTAAACTATTTTAATTTTTTATTTTGACAGACACAATGGTTTCTTTTTTTTTAAGATTTATTTTATTTTTTTTAATTGGAAAGGCAGATATACAGAAAGGAGAGACAGAGAGGAAGATCTTCGGTCCGATAATTCACTCCCCAAGTGAGCGCAACTACTGATACTATGCCAATCCGAAGCCAGGAGCCTCTTCTGGGTCTCCCACGCGGCTGCAGGGTCCCAAAGCTTTGGGCCATCCTCGACTGCTTTCCCAGGCCACAGGCAGGGACCTGGATGGGAAGCAGGGCCGCCGGGATTAGAACCGGCGCCCATATGGGATCCCAGGCATGCAAGGCGAGGACCTTAACCACTTGTGCCACCACGCTGGGCCCAGACACAATGGTTTCTTATTGGATCTTGTTTTTCTGCTATAGTTTGTTGTTAAAAAATGATTTTTATAAAAGATTTATTTATTTATTTGAAAGGCATAGTTGGGGAAAGGGTGAGAGAGAGAGAACAATCTATCCACTGGTTAACTCCCCAAATGGCTGCAATATTGGAGCCTGGCCAGTGTGAATTCAGCAGTCAGGTACATTATGCAAGAGTTGGATAGAAAGTGGAGCAGCTAGGATTTGAACTCGTGCCCATATAGAATGCTGGCACTTCAGACAGTAGCTTTACCCTCTATACCAAAGCACTAGCTCCTAGATTGATCTTCTAAGATTGAAAGACACAATCTGTCACTTTTCTATCTCAATTTCGTACGGAGTTGCCCGTGGTATTCAACCAAAACCCCAAACCCTAGTCTCTATATCATTACTGCTAAATATTTGCGAGACCAGCCCACCCATCTCCTAAATTCCTAAAACTGGCATTTGTGGTGTCTGCCAAAAATATTGATCCACAAAATTTGTATATGGCAATTCCATTATTTCTGCTACTTTCAATAATGAGGAAGTGATTTCTATAGGGTATTAAAAAAACCCATAGTATCTATCGTTTTTTCTTCTGTTGTCTCCAGTATTTTAAGTAAACAATTTATTACTAATAAATTGATGTTTTTGTCTGTTCTTATTAGAGGCTAGTGTGTGCCAAATTTGATCCAATCAGAAATTAATATGTCCTTGCATACCTTAAATCATTGTGTTATTTGTGATTCTCTATTGTTATTGAATACTTGAAAGAAATATTTGTAAGTTTCTTCTTCAGTGATTCGATGATGGCAAACATGCACACATTTTTGTGAGACAAAATAAAACTGGTTACAATTACTGCGCTTCTTCATCAGGATTACCTCTTCTTGAGAGTATTCCTTGCACATAATTTTCACAGTGTGAATGTTACAGAAGCTAACTTTGCCTGACTCTAAGTTGTTTTTTTTTTTTAAGTGTTATTCTCTGTGCTTTACAGAAAAAAAACTTAGTTTAATGGTAGTTTGGCAGTTTTTCTCCCTGTGATAAAAATGAAAATGATCAAATGTATATTAGTGCCCTTACATCCAGAAGCATTCACTAACCTACAGGAAATTGTGCTTGAACAGCATATGATTCATCAGACCGGTCGTGCTGAAACTCCAGTCTTCCTGGATCACCTTGTTGTTCTGCCCTTTTTGTTTATACTTTTCCAAAACGGCTTACAGTGCCTCTGATGTGAGGCTCCTGTGTCATGAAAATTTGACATCTTTATTCTGCAATGCGTAGATGCCAAAAAACAAAATGAAGGTAGGATCTTATAACTGAGAAATCAAATGACTAAGCTCTGCACAATAATACTTCAATTCTCTTGTAATTGTTCATGAACTTCACCAGAGATACATAGTCTTTGCCAGCGAGGCAGAGGTGAAAGTGAACTTCACATTGCTTCTGATTGTTTGCATTTAGAAATATGGCTAAGGGAGTATATAAAGGTGCTTTACAATTGGTAAATATCCTATTTTATTCTTGTCAATCCTGTAGTTAGAATGTAAATATGCCAGTCATAGTAAAGGAAAAAATTGAGAACTGCTTTGAGAGAAAAAAAAAATTTCCATAAGCAGATACTCTTAAAAAACACTGTTTAAAACTGTAAACACCCTTAAAAACACTGTAAGCTGTAAACACAGACTGCCCATAGCTTAGATTTCTGATAAACGTGGCCTTTGAAGGGGAGATGGGATGTCTATTACTTGCAAAACTTCCCAATTTAAGTACCATGGCATTTTCCTTTCTATTATTCTGACAGAATCACCACATTATCACAAGAAAATTATGTCATTTTATCAGGAGATTACAAAAAAATAGTTCTATTAGCAAAAAAAAAAAAAAGATTTTTTGCAAATTGGATTCCTTTATTAACATCAGTGGAAAAGATCTATTACATGGAAACATAATACGTAATCATCTAATGATATTCTTTACTAGTGTTTAACGGAGAGATTGCTTCCATTACAAAAGCAATACTAATCTTCCTCCAATACTTATAATCTTATAATGTCACTTGTTTGTAAATAGCTTTGAAGATCAAGCAGTAATTGCAACTATCCAAAAAACATGTGTTCTCTTCTTCCACCAATATCTCTGTTATTTCTCTCAGAGATAATATTTAAGAGTCCAAGAATAAAACAATCTTACATCTTATTGTACTATGGTCCTCAGAGAGAAGACTGGAGGCAACTGAATGAAAACATGATCTACAGGGAGACAGTTAAACATTTCAGTTTTTTGGCAAACAAAAAACCTCTTTGCTTTTTCAAATATCTTATCAATATTCAAATAGACTTTACAGTAGGAACACAATACTGCCTAAAGAGCTTGACACTAGAGTCAAAATAAGCAAGTGATACAAGACAATCTTAAATGGTTTTTCTTTTTCTTCTTTTGCTTCCTCTTTTTCCTCACCGGGGTGTCAGTGGCAGCTACTGAACTGAAATCTCTGTGTGCAAGTGTTTATGGTTGAATATGTCAGAGAAAATCAAAACAATTGCATGTGGAAACTCTACTCTTGTTATTTGCCAATATGTGGACAAAACTGTGAGCTGGTCAAGATAGCTAATAATTGTCTTCAATAATTTCACTTGAAGCTGTTACTGTGTTTTCAACTAATAATGCAACAAATCATTTAAAAGCTTTGCTAACTCAGGCCTGGCAAGAAGGCTAAATAGCTGAATTCTTGCCTTGCACATATGAGGATCCCGTACGGAGCTGGTTGCTTGCTGCCATTTGGGAAGTGTCTCTCCTTCAATCTGTAAATCTGGCTTTCCAAAAAAAAGCAAAATAAATCTTCAAAAATAAGTCTTTTAAAACATGTTGATTGCTCAAGTAATATTTCCTAGAGAAAACTATTACCCTGAAAATAAACTTAATAGTCATGTTTGGGAAACATTTTACTTAGTGCCATGTTTTCATAATCAGGACTGAGTCACAGGGGAAGAAATTTGGTCTAGTTCATAACACCCTGACCATGATTCCCACAGCCCATGTTGTAGTGGTTGGTGCTGAATCTTGGCTATGAATCTGGATACTAGATTCTGGTTAGTATGCACCTTGAGATGCTGCAAGCGATGGCTCAAGGAATTACATTCCCGCCTGCCATGCCAGGGAGCTGGATTGAAATCCTGGCTCCTCCCTGCAGAGCCCTGCCTGCCCACACAGATTTTCTGGAAATGACATAGCGATTAGGAGCCTCAATGTAAAAGCCTCAAAATGGCTTTCAATTTTTATAAATAAAAACTAAAAAAAAAAATCACAATAGCATGTATCTTCTTGGATATTTCCTTAACTTTATGAAGATATGATGAAAACACTAAAAAAATCACAGATATTATGAATATGATTCCCTCCAGCATCTGTGTGACCTAGAGGCTTTACAAATTAAATGCGTGTAATCATCTTGCTAGCATTATTTGTCTTACTCTGACAACAATGTCTGAGAATAGGAAATTACTAATTTGGTAATTACACTCCTTATTATTTATGCTTTCTACGTGTAAGCGTATTTGAAAAAATCTGTAGAAAAATGGAATTGAACTGTAAGTTTATTTTAATGCAAAACTTTGGATTCACAAATAGGTTTTTCATTGTTAATATTTACCATGAAGTTTTTGAAGGCCACTCCTATTTTGTGCCTAATAATTACAAAAGTTAGTATTGGGTATTTTGAAATTTGACATTTTATGTACTAGAAGTTATTTATACAGTCACTTATGTGTTAAAAAATCACTCTGGCTGAAGCTGGTCAAAGGATACCAAAAGGAGAATCATAGATAAGAAAGAGATGCTTTCATTAGAAGGTGCGCAATGATACTGACAACAGCAGTGATGCATAAATATTAGAGATAGCCTTATAGTAGCAGAACTGACACTGAGCAAACAAGGAAGCGAACAAACCGAAGTTTGTTTTGATTCAGTGCATCAAGAATTACTGCATTGGAAATGCAAGTTGCTTACCAATGGTAATAATGCAGGGGAAAATATAAGTGTTTTCAAGTGACCTTCCA